CCATACTGTTTGAAACTGCCGGTTACGTTAAAGAGTGGTTCCAAGATAGATTTCATGCTCTCCTACATGCATGTCATGCTCATGTAATTAACATTCTAAGTCCTCCATCAGGAAAACTGATCTGACACATATAATTTTGTGTAGATTTGTGGCACTGAGCACAAATACAGTGATATTTTGTAAATTCCGAACTATTCCTGAGATACACTTTTTGTTTGATTTTTGCTTGAAACCACTTGAAACATCATCTCTTGCAATTTATGTAAGCCTATGGAGGCTAGGAGCCTGTCTTTGCAAAGAATAGTCTAGCACAATCTAGCACAATCTTTCAGATAGCATAGTCTTTCAGATCTTCTCTACATTTCTGTTAGAGTTTGAAGTTCTTTGTTAAAAAAAATCCTGCTTTATTTCTGTGTGATGATCAGCCTTCATATTACTCCCATTTTGAGAACTTCTCCATATAAGGTGATAAGCTGGTATTAAACACATACAGTGTGTCCCTATAATTCACTGTCAGGAGATATAATTGCACAGTCTTTTACATGTCATTGATCCCCATGAACTTCGTATCTGGAGCAAGGCTTCACTTAAACCTTTTCTAAGCTCTGAAGCCTTTAGCTGGTCAATTTGTCTACTCGAATGTTTAACTGCGTTATTATTCCTGGTAATGATGATGGTTGGTCATTTATCTGGACTGGAGAAGCTTTTTTGTTCAAAGACCTACTCTGCTGTAATCCACATAGGAGAATATGCATGTCCTCTTTAGACTCAAGGTACTTTGAAATTCAGGTTAAAAAGGGAACAGTAGGTCAGAATGGGCATAGTCTTAAAGCAGAAGCTTTTAATCTAACTAAAAGCTTGTAGCTCGCTTCATGTATAATTGAAAACAGTATAGATTCTCCTAAATATTTGAAGATACTAATGGGTTTAAGTGAATCTGAATGAAAGGGAAGTCAGCACAAAGCTTCAGTTCTCCATCTGATTTTGTTGCTGTGTTAGTTTGCAACAGTTAAAGATTGTGGCTTATGTTTTTCTTTCACTGACACTGTGTTGTATATCCTTCCATGTGCAGAAAAACTTTGCAATCCTCTGCAGGGGAATGTTCATATAAAAGCCTGAGAATTATGTATCTAATAGATCTTCAGCAATATCACTGTAACAAAGTCTAATACATGGCAGTATGGTGATGCTAATTCTGGTAACTGACTCCATTTTAGGATGTCTACATACCCTAGCCCAGACCATGCTGCACCTGCTCCGACCATGTGCTGTACTGTCCAGCTGCAAGCAATTCTTGGCAGGGAATCGAGTGTCTACATTGGGCTTGATGCTGTGCTAAGCCATAAGTCTTGAGCAGAGTTGCAAAAATTAACACAATCTTCCTCTCCTACTTATTATGATCATCCTGTACACTGGGCTTCTCTTGAGAGACGGGACTTACTTGGTCAGTGCTGTGCTAACTCCCTCTATAGTGAGAGAAACCTGTTCTTTCTGGAGTGAACAAAATCCTGTGGTTTCTGGACCAAAGCTGATGTGCAGTGAGGCACTTAGGCAAGTCAGAGCTAATCCTATGCACTCCTGACTGCAAACCATCTTCTAAGTGTCTCTTTTTCTTTATTCTCTCAGTCATGGAGAGAGATTAAGATTTTACTGATACCCCTTAATAGGTTCAGAATATAAAGGCTAATATACATTATAGCTTAGTTTTCTCTGAATTTGTGCCAACAGATACAGGACCACATTCGTAAGCCCTAATTGACAGATGGAGGTTAATTTTACTATGCACATATAAGGTTCTGTGTACATAAATTTCCACACAAATAAATGGTTGGCTTTGAGTGCATGTAAGCTCCACCTCATAACTGTTCAGATATGGCAGTGCTCTTCCCAGGCTAGGGCTGGCTCAGACCTGGGTAGCTAAGAGCGCTGGCTAAAATTTGTGCCCATTTCTACCTGAGTGTTTAGATATACTGATGCAGAGGTGGAATTCTGAAAATGACACACAGAAGTGTTTGTTCCTTCATACCTTCCCCTCTATTTCATTGCTTGTCACCCCTTAATAATTATTTTGTCACCCCTTAATAATTATTAATAAAAGGGCAAAAAGACTTTAAGGAGTTTGATTTAAAAAAAGAATGGATGTGAACAAGAAATTTGGAAGATGGAGAGAATACACTTATTAAGGTACACAAAAACCTTCTGTGTTAACCTGTGGATAAATGAGTAAGAATTTTTCATAACTAATAGTTAAGGAAAAAAAAAATTCAAACAATTTTAATTTTTAGTATTTGTAAGGGTTACAGATTTTATTCTGAATTTTAGACACATTGAACACCTTTTATTCTTTTATGCTTAGATATGCTCTTAATGTGCATATCAATTTGAATGTTTACATATGATATGACATGGAAAGAGTCTTACAATTTGTAAAACAGTATGCTTATCACTTATCTTTGCTCTAATGATGACAGTGATTCCAACTCAGTCTGGGGAGCCGTAGTTTTGAAATAGCTCACAAGGTATGGACCTCCAGAAGGCATTTAGAGCTCCTAAGCTGATGCCAAACTTTCAGATAGTAAATTGTTCCATATTAGATACATCCTTATGGAGCAGCAGGAGGTAAAGAAAAGCTGAGTTGCACAAGTCTGTCTGGAAAGATGTGCAGGCTTAAAATACATAATGATTTACAGAATCAAGAATTGCAGAGCACTTGCAAGGGTAAAACATATGAAGCTATTATTCTGATTCTGCAATAAACCTAAATGTAAGTGAAAAGTACTAGTTAAATCAATGCATTTAATTTTAAGCATAGCGAACAGGCCTATTTGTGATCTTACATTTCAGTCCTTCCGAGCAAGGTACCTTTGCTCAGTGTCTTTGAAAAAGCAGACTGGCAACTAGACTCCCAAGAAACACAAATGGAATCAGTGTCTGGAATGTAGCGAAAAGGTTTAATAGCAACTGAAAGCAGAATTTTCCTACTGGTGAAACTAAGGCAAGAGGTGCATGAAGATTTACAATTGTAATATGGTAAATATGGTAAAGACTCCTTGTCATTTGTAAACAATGATTCCAAGAGAAGTCTACATTTAAATATACAGTTTCCACAATCTGTCATAACAATATGTTTTCCTTTTAGTGATCATATATGTTGACAATGATAGAGCTAAAGTTTTGGAACTAAAATGCCATTAGTGGAATCTGTGGTACTACAAAAGTCAGACAAGGGAAGACTAAAAGGAGTTTAGTGTCTGGAGTAAGAAAATCAAACCAAGAGTGCTTTGTGCTCCCCTGAATAAAAGTTTATATCTGTCCTTTTATGTAATATATCCCCATGCAGCACCTTAGTGCTGAAATCAGATAGTACAAGAAAAAATCATATGTGCTGAAAATGCAGATAAAGAATCTGTAGTGAGCTTGAAGGTAAATTAAGATGTAGAACTGGAGTATTACATGGTGACATAATTTTTTTTTTTTGCTTTAAAAAAAAAGAAAGGAATCCAAAATAATTTGGCAGGTTGTTACAGAATGCTACTGATGGAAATAATCCTGATGCATGTCACCATTGCATAAAGCTGTGGCAATAATATTAAGTTCAGGCTTCTGAGTCCTAGTGAGTAAAAGAAATTGAGAGGTCAAAGATTGACAGCTGCTCTTTCATATCAGAAATAGCCAGCTCAATACTTATAGCTGGATCTTAATTAAAATTGACATATTGACAAGAATTTTCAAAGTGGAACTACAGTTCTTTAAAAACCCAGTTGTGCAAAAAATGGGTGTTATACACATATTAAAAAGATGTAAACCATGAAAGAGCTAGTTCAAGCTGACAGGAGAAAAAGGAATGTATTCAAGCTACAGAAAGTGTATTTCACATTCAATGTCAAGAGAAGTATTCTAAACTAAATGCAAAAAAGGAGAAAAAAAGAATTCTTAAACTTGACTATTAAATTCCAATATTACTAATCACTACTGGCCTTATGACCACTCACAATCTCATCTAGTTAAGGACTGCACTAGAAAAGTATTAGGACTTTATAATATCCATCTTTTCCTTTGGAAATGAACTCCATAAAAACAAATGCAGAACTGCAATTACATTGCATACTGCTTGTTATTTCCAGTCACAAAATACCACAGACTGTAAATAAGGCACGCCAAAGGCATGCAACTGTCCTGTTCCAGGGGGAAAAATACTGCAAAGTCACCATCTTTCTCAAGGACATAAAAAGTTGGAGAAATTCTTGACCTTCTAATACGCATGCAATACCTCTGGATGTCACTTATACATTCATCATTTATACATTCGTAACACCAGAAAAGGAAGATCCTTCAATTTGAATAGGTCTAAAGTGTCTGCTGTTTTTCAGATTATGTATTTGGTTTGGGGAATTCTGGTTGCTGGAAAGAACAGTTCTTCTATCTTGCCCAGAAGGGCTCTGCCCTGACTTCTTGCATTACTCTTTCCGGCCTGTCCTTGCTGACCAGAAGTCACAGTGTTTCATGGAGCAATGTGCATTTCCTTCAACGAACAAGTTGGTTACCTCTAGGCAGACATAGCATTAGAAACAGTCAGCCATGTCTACTTGTTTAGCTATAGATATCACCCTTGTCTGTAAACTGGGGGAGAGGCAGACTGGACTGGCATATTTCGTAAATAGCAAGTACTAAAAAATGTCTCATAAAGTCGAATAATTTCCTGTTTATAACTAGGAATTGTGAATGCAAGTTGCATGTACTGAACATTTAAACTTACCTAGTTTTGCTACTCTGGAGCATAAACCAGGAGAAATGTCAGTCAAAACCTTTTCACCAGTGCCTACTGGTGACTATGCTTTGTGATAAGAATAGGTTTTTGTGTTTTTTTTTTTTTCTTTTTTTTTTTTTTTTTTCTTTTCTTTTTTTTTTTTTCTTTTCTTTTTTTTCTTTAATAAAGTAGGAGACCTTATTTTTATGCATGAAAATAAAGTACTATAGATACCCTACTGTTGTAACTCCAGTCTACAGCTGGCTTTTTACAGGAGATTTTGGAAATATTGCTAGTGTTTTGCTAAGCTTGACTGCATAGCAGGAACCATGGGGATTGCCCAAACATAACATATACAGAACATTGTGCTGCCATCATATAACTGTGTACACTGTAAGTCTGTGTGTCAGTCATTCACTCCAGAAACACAAAGAAAGGAGTGGAGAAAGTAGCAACCTAAAACTTTCAAAACCCAAATAGCATTATTAGGAGACTTCTGGGTGAAAGTGGTGCTTTTAATCTGGACAAACTTACCTGGCATTCTTATGAGACTCTGAATAAGTAAACAGGACTTTGCCTGTGCTTTTTGCATGCCAGTAGCTTTACGAATAGTCAGTTTAAAAGATCATTGCCATGGGCATTGCATAAATAATTCTATATACATAAATACATATGTATATATATATTATCTATGTATGTTTGTGTGTGTACCAACGCACGTTAAATAAAAGCCCTAACAATATTTTAAAAACCCACAGCTTACTCTGAGACTTATTTTCTAGAACATATTTTGAATTAATCACTTCAGAAATCAAAGCTGTCAGTGACCTTTTAAAATGACTATGCATATACAGCACACTGTTAGATTAATATTGGTTTTTTTCCCCCTCCACTGCAAGCAAAGTTTAGACAGCTTTCATACTGAGAAATAATTATTAAGCTTCAATTTAGTTTCTTAAAAGTTCGTAATTAGTTCTTTTGATTGTGATCTTTTTTTTGGTTGTTAGGTCAAAATAATCAGGTAACTATGTGCAGAAATTAACGTATTTGTTATATTAGATTATGTATTGTAGTAGTAAAGCTTGTTTGAAGTGCATGAATAAAAAGTGAAATTACAGGAAGAACAATCTAATATAGCAATACTAGGTGCATTCACTGTGCATCTGAGAGGAGGAGGGGGGAAAAAAGAAGAGTTTTCACTCATTTTGGCCTAAAATGTGTTCAGGTTTCCAGGATTCTGATATCAGAACCCAGATAACGCTGGCTAGAACCATAGGGCTTTACAATAAAAGCTAAAATATTGACCATATGATGGCAAAAAGTCTTTATTTTGCGGTTAACTTATTCTCTTCTAGCTACTCTCTGATGAAGTTGGTGGTGCTGTGGAGGATGATCTCCTTCTTCTTGACAAAGATCGTGATCGTTCAGCACTGTAGGCAACATGCTTATCGTAATTTTGTATCTGAGCCTCGAGGAATTCCCTCTGTTGCTGGCTGATTGTCTGGCTAATCAGCCCAGGAAGAGCTTGAATGCTACCAATTAAAGTTTCCAGTTTAGTTTCCAGAGTAACAATTCTCTTCTCAAAATCTTCACTTCGTTCATTTAAGTCAGAAATCATGTCATACATGATGTTTTGAGTCTGAAAGTAGAAGGATTTAAGTAAAGGTTTAGAGAGACCTTACAAGTATTGTAACAAGTACATTACAATTACAGTAGACTAAAATTTCTATTAGATTTCTTGAGCAGAAATGTAATGCCTTTTAGTACCACTTTACACATCAAAGTCACAATCAATTAAAGACCAGACTTTTTTTGGAAATTTGGGTGCTTGGGGGTGCTCCAGGCTAACCTTTTTGAACAGTCAGTGTAAGCTACCAGGGAACTGAAGGCTGTACTTATGTACTCCATCCTTAACTGTTCTTGATTCTGGTTTTAAATATCTTCATTCTTCTAAGAAAAGCACAAACATTGTTCTCTAGCTTGCTGCTTAAACTGAGTGGATTTTCTTGAACTGGCAGTAAGATGAGTTGAGTGGATTGTTTTTCTAAAGTAGTGCAAGGAGTAAAAACGGTAAAACAGTTGCATGTTTTTCTACTTTTGCACTCTCCAATCTATCTGGCCTCTACAAAACACTGTTTAATTACAGCAAATATATAGAATATACTTTAAAATGACACAATGCTCAGTAAAAATGAAATCTGAAATGTGTAATTTCATGGAGACTTAGAATTGGTTAAAAATAATGGCTGACTGTCTGCCTCTTATAAACTAAGGCTTCAGATTATTTAAACTAGAGTTAAAACTGGATGTAATTAAGTAGAAAAACTGGCTGAAATTTATGAACCATCCAAAGGAAAGGAAAATTAATTGAATGACTGCCTGAACGGTAAAACACTTCAGTATCAGGTGTGTTATAAACCATTGCTCCGCCTCCTGTTTCACGATGCTAGCATAAGCCTTGAAAGTGAAGCAGTCTACACAAAACAGTATATTAAAAGTCCTTATTAGTTGCAGAAGCATTAGAGTGAATTGCATTTTCACCGGAAGTTATCAGGTGGTTCTGTGAAGCAAGAGGGGAATGAACAGTGTAGAGTTTAATGTTTGCTTTGATGCACTTGAAACTGAGGAGGATTTTGAGGTAAATGAAGAGGTGCAAAAGAAACCCTTAGGAAGAGCCCATTAATGCTTCTACTGTAGCCTCAAATTAAGCTCACAGTAACTGTTAAGTATTATGATCTAATGAGAAATCCAAAATGCTATCAGTCAGACCTCTATCTTTCTAGTTATTATATATTTATGAAAAATTCTGGCAACAATAAGCAAGCAGCTCATAACTGAATAGCCTCAACTCAAATTGTTAAAAGAAGATTTTCAAAGCCTTATGATATACTAGTAAAGTAGGCAGCTATTATTCATTATAAAACGTAAATAAATGCAGCTCTAAATTGACTTGTCCAAAGTTACTGCTGCATAAGACAACAGGACCAGGAAAGCAGAACATCTAACTTCAGTCTAGACACTATTTACTATGGTCCATCATGGCACAATCACTATCACCACACGGCAAATCTTCTTACTACACAGCACTACACCACTACAGCCCACTCACAATTCAGCATTTACCATGACCACCGCAGTCACCTCAGGAGCTCTCAGGATCAGCCTCTCAATTGTGAAGTCTTTTTCAAATGTACAAAAAAATAAATAAATATGGCACACTCAAACTTTCATCAGGATGTTTCCTTCAGTAGTTGCTACCACAAAACACAAACGTATTTTCATTTGCTACCAATAACAACCTTGTTAACAATATTTGCACATATAATGCATAACGTTCTCACTTAAAAACTCTTGAAATAACAGTAAATGCCTACTAACCTTTGCCAGGTCCACCAAAGTGTTGGCTTGATCATTCAGTTTCCTTTGTTCCATTTTTACACTTCTTAATCTACAAAGTGGAATTTTAAGTCAGATTTTTTTTTTTTTTGTATGACATCATACTAGGATTTCGAGAGAGCATGCACAAAACTTACGAGAGCAAATAACTGCATGGACAATGCCTTGACTACTTTGTGTAGAGTCAGAATCGGTCATGTGCCTGCTACAATGAGAAGCATGCTTCTTCAACACCGCAAAAAAGGAAAGAGCAGGGAAATGTGATGTCCTTGAGAATACCATTTGCCATGGTCAAAGTTGAATTCAAAAAGGAAGATAACAATTTATCCAGACTACATGAAAGAAAGCCAAAACATTCCCCAAAGCCTCAGTATCGTGACAAGTAGATATAGGAAGAAACATAGAACAACAGTTTTTTGTCATTATTGTTGTAGTAATCAAGAATCTTCCCATGCCTACATGACTAGATACAGGTATTAGCCCTGTTCTGTCGGAAATGGATTGGGTTAGCAGGTGTTGGAACCTGATGAACATACAGTGATAAGTGAGTTTCTCCTTACTTGAAACAGAACTTCCATCTGTCCAGCAGCTAAATAACCAACATGCTTGCCAATACATTTGGTTTTCTTAGATAATTTGTGTATCTAAATATGATTACATTTCAAATTTACATCATTCATTTTCAAAGCACTATTTAAACTACAGCATTGAAAAACTATGATGGGAACAGCAAGGGTACATGTTTTTCTTTGACAAATACCTATCTGCATTGTTGTTGGTTATGCACATTTTTTGCAAGATATATGACCCTTCTTATATATTCCCTGAGAAAAACCCCATGTTTTCCAGATTAACTACTAGAGGAGTGGTTTGTAGATTTGACTTTCACAAACAGACAATTTCTTCCTGAAGTATGATTCATTTATTCAAAATCTCATAACAGATGCATACTTGGACTTTCAATGACTTTTCTGGCTGTTCTAGAGCAGGAAATGGGGTTTTGATACCAAGGTATCAATTTATAAACAATGTGTCATAAGATACCATTTCAGTCTACCAGTGTGCCAAGGGCCAACCAAAATAACAATTTGGTTAGCTGTCAAATAGAATTAAGTTTGGCAGCATTTTGTGATAGGTGGGCTGCTAGTGCCCATTTCTCAGTGATGGTATTAGAAAGCCAGTTTAAAGAAAACCTTAACGAAGGTATTCCCAAACCAGAAAGTTTCTTTCATTTCTTTAGTTCACAAGCATTTCCTTTCATATCTAGGCTAACAGGTATGAGAAAGTAAGTTGTAGAGAGTGAAATGTCATTTAAAAATATCTTTAAAATTTAAGTGGAAATAACTCTGTTAAGGTAGAAATGAACTGATCATATAAAACTGGCATTCCAGGAGCTTGTTACTGAAATGTCATATGGTCTTCTTCCCCTGGAAGCCTCTTTCAGAACGCAACATAAACGCAGACTGTAGGAGTGGTGTTTTCAGAGGCTACAAGGTGGAGTTTTTTTAAAGCAAAGAATATGAAGGAGTCTCCGAGGTACAGAATTATATCATCACAGTGTCAGAACAGAGTAATTATTCAAAGGAAATTATTTCACTGGAGATTGACAGCCCCAGTGTTTTGGTGACCATTCTCTCAAATAATTTGCAGAATTATGTGTTTTCTGCTTTTTTTTTAAGATTCATTGATTCATCTGTTTGACAATCAGTATTTTAAATTTAAAATTCCAGGAAGTTCATTATTATTGTAGTAGTACAAGTACCATTTGACACCAACATCATAATTCTTCATGGTAACCAACCCAACACCTACCACAGGCTGTAAGAATGTACAGATATGGCAAGTCTTTAGCTGCAGCAGCCGGATTTAAAGGAAACCAACAGACTTTCATAGTATAATTCATTAAGATAAAATTTGGATTTTATGAACTTCACTTATCACAGAAAAAGATCATGATTCTGGATCACGTTTCCATGGCAGCAATCAGACCACTGAAGTTCACAAATAAAAACTCTATTTTCTGCATGCAGACAGTGGTAAATTCTGCAAGTTTAGAAAGGAACAGCTTTTACAACTTACTTCCGAGCTCTATTTTCATTTTGTTGAAAAAAAGACAAAACAAAAGAAAACAAAGTGTAAAATATACTAAAACAACCATATGGGCACAGTGGGCTCGATTCAGCAGGTAGAAACTCCTAGGGAGTTGCAACTTTTGATCAGTAGCTGCCTCAGAAGGAGACTAACTCACTTGCATTCATGATAAAGGAATGTGCAATATCTTCAAGCCTTACCATTAACTATTCGCTGTAGATTCTCTTATTTATACAATACATAGCATGCCTTTATATGATTTCCCTTCATCTTCTCTAGTGTGCATGAGAAACAGGACACCCAGACCAGCTGAACACATTTTAGAGCTGTGACCATGACTGTTACCATGATCTAGTCTGGTTTATTTTATAAAACTGGCCCTGAAATGCCACTCCTTTTATTTTTGTGTCCAGTGAAATGGTTTGAAGGTGAAGGAGGGGGACCGAACAAAACTCAAGACTACGGAAAGGTATCCGTAAGTCACTTGAGAAAAAGGGCAAAGATGCAAAGGGATGAAAAATTAATTTGCATCCATCAATTCAGCTACAGGAAGAAAGAAAAGTGGTAGTGCAATGTTTTCATCCATGGTGCATTCTTCAGTATATTGAAAAAAATTATCTTTTGTTTGTTTTCCTGAACACAAAAGTTTTGGACCTGTAGTGCAAAGTGGTAAAAGATAAAGAGAAATGATTAAGATAGCTGTGCAATCTAGATGACACAAATAGAAAAAAATTACTGATGCCACCTTCTTCACCCCACCTGATTAACTAATTTTTAAGAGAGGGGCAGAACATACTTTATATCCTGCAAAGTTCTTCTGAGCTCAAGTGATATAAAAAGCTGGAGATCGAGCCTGCTGTGCTTTTTAGATTCTTTTCTGAACATATGTGCTCATACACACACAGACACACGAACACACACACACAAAATAAATAGTAAAGTTAAATTGTTAATGTTAACCTTTACAATCAAGGATTCAAGTCCAGCAAGGATGCACATGACATGCCATCCTCTCCCCAGACCCCCTGCCACTCCCCTCCACCTCCCAATCCTTTAAGCTAAGCAGGATAGCCAAACTGCTATATAAAAATATACCTTTTATATACACATAAAAACACCTTAACTTCTGTTGTCTATTTACTCCTCAAAGTGTTTCCACACTGACACAGTAACATTTTATCTTGAAAGTTTGCTAAGTGTAATACAGTAATCAAGGCTTACAGAATATTTCTTAGCTTAAGCTTAGCTACCTACTGCTTTAAAACATTGCTATGAGAGAGAGAATGATTGTTAGTCTAAATTTACTAATAGGAAATGAGTAAACCCAGCCTTTCCTTCCTGTCTCTCCTGCAAGACACTGCATAGATGTTCTTTTCATCATGGATGCTTCCCTCACATCTCTTCAGTGGTTGTCTCAGGTACAGACCTACACTCAAAAGTTTTGAAACCATCAGTTTGAAATTAAACTTAATTTATCTACATTTTCCCTGTAACTCATGGGAACTATATTCATCAGCTGTACAAAGGGCTCCCTCAGGATGGCTGGGGATAACAGATAGAACAGACAAGAAGATCCTGACTGTTCCTCAAAAGAATTCTGGTTCCTGAGGACAAAACTCTGGGGTTTTTCCTCCCATAGTAACCATTGTGCAATTCTGCTCATTTGGATGTGCTTTATGACAAATACATACTGTAAATTTTAGATAAACACTTGTAGTTTGGTAATACCATGGCACAGCTTAATCCTACTACCAGTTTTAGGTCTCAGGCTTGTTTTCAAACCCTCAAGTAAAGGGGAAGAACTCACTTGAATAATGCCAGAGGTGTTCAATGGACTCAACTATTGGCACACACTCCCATTTTCTAGAACAGATGGCAGGGGTCATAGCTGACATACCAACATTTGATCTTGTGCACTGAGAATATACAGTGGAAAGAAGCAACTAAATGCTGGTGGGCCATGAAATGATACTTGATGAATATTCTTTTCATTAAACACTACATACATACTGTCTTCTGTCACATCATTCTGATTTTAAAATATTAAAGCATCTAATACAAAGATTTTTTTTTAAAAAAATTCCTTCTTCTATTGTAGCTTGCATCTTTCTACCTGGAAGCAAATGCATAAAAACAAAAGATAGTCTCAGTGGCAAAAAACAAAAACAAGTCTTAGACAATTCAAGAAGCGTGAGACACTTCTGAAAAACATTGACCAGTTTATATGGCATAAACTGTTAGTGTACCTTTTTATTTTATTGTAAACATGTAATACAGTAAAACCTTTGTCTTACTCTGAAAGAAAATCAACCTCCAGATTCTATCTTCTATGAAGGGAAGGGAATGGTGGGGGGAGACGAGGGAGGGGGCAGGATGGGACTAAGAGTGACTGAGAGAGAAGGAAACTAACAGAGAAAACACCTTGAGAGGAAAAACAAAGCAAAATAGTACTTACTGATGAATAGCTTGCAAGAATTTGCGTTGATGTTTCCTTACTTTTGCATGGTCAATTTTTTTAACCAGCTTTGTGTTTTTATAAATTAACCATGTTTCCCTGAGTACATTGGCCGCTGCATTTTTCACCTGTTTAAAAAAAGAAAAACACCAGGCTGACAAAAGTAGTATTGTGTTATGTTTTCACTATTCTGTTATTAGCTATTCCTAAAGCTTTTGAAATGCTGTCTTAACTGTGGGAAGTGGGTACCTCATGAAGCTGCAGCACTGAGGGAAGATAGCAACAACAGGATTAAGGGGACTGCAGAGCAGTTTCCTTTTAATATAGATGTGATGTTTGGATCAAATCTTTCTGCATCCAGAATAATTTTTCCTCTTCAAAAAGTTGGAACTCTTTGGTGTTTATGGCAATATAAATTACAGTGAAAAAATACTAATGCATTATCTGTATGTTAATTAGGGGTATTCAATAGGACTATAACCTTTCTTTCTTTCTTGTTCTATGGTTAGCACTACTAAGTTCTCTAAGCAATTTAAGTCTTTTAAACTTCCAGAGCTGTTTGAGCACTTTTTCCCTTTATTTTTTTTTCTTTTTTTTTTTTTAATAACATTCTCCAAGAAGATGAAAAAAATATGTTGTCAATTAATGTGGGCAGAGTTCTATTTAAAAAGTACTTTGACTTTTTTTAAATGAGGCTTTCCATAAAATGTGAAGTTAAGAGCACCTACAGTTCTCTTACTAAACCCTACAAAATTTTCAAGAACACTTAAAAACATATAAATAATTTGAATGCTATGTTGATTAATGGCCGAATGACTAGGTTACTTGGAAAGAAAAATTGTCGTAATTATTCATCTTTATTTTCTCTCCCTCCAGCTTTACATCATGCCAGTAACTGCAGTGTCAGAGCTAAGTAAATGGCTAAGATTGTTGGAGATTGGATTGGCTAAGTGTTGGAGAACCTTGTCCTGTTTTCATTGAAAACACAACCATGGTTTAGTGACCTCCTCACAATCCCTAAGTAGCATTTCCACAAGGTATGGCTATCTTCAGGCTGTGAGGAAAGCTCTCCAGCATCTGCAGGATTTGTGATTTGATTTGCATCTCGGATTTGTTTGCTTGATTCACTTTTCACGTGCTTTGAGTTTCAGGAGTTTGAAGCTATGAAAGCACCACTTGGATAAAATATTAGGCTAACATTGTGATTTATATGAAAAACGGATGAACAAAATAAACTTCAAGAGGCATAAATAAAGACCAGACTCAAAATCTGGCCAATCTCTGAGGCACAGTTTGGGCTCAGCTGTCAGATACCGCTAGAAAAGTACCTGTGTTAGGAAGGGACAAATTGTTTCCTGTGGTCTAGTATCAACAAGACCTTAACTGACCACAACAGGAATGTAAATCAACAAGCTCAGAAAGGTACCTTGTCAGACACCCTTTATACCTATATAAGAACTGTCTTCCCACTCATCCTTAGTCTTTCCTCATTGTGACTCCTAAGAGGAGATACAGGCGGTCAGTGGTGAGCAGCACAGAAATGAGAGCCAGCATAGCCAGGGCAGTGTTCTGAGAAACACAGCACGTGGGGGTAAGACAGGGCTCTCTGCAGCACAGGACCTGTGGCAGTGCAGAGCTGCATGGGCATCCAGCCTCCTCCTGACCTGGAGCAGAACTACTGTCTCCATCTCGGGCACTGACATCCCTCAGCACCCTCAGTAAGGAGAAACTCTGCTGAGTTCCCACTGTGATTACAAGGACCTTTGTCTCCACATTGGTTCTTTCCAGTAACAAAGACTAAACAAGTTGAGTGGACTGTACAGCTACTACTCATTTTCTTGTTCCCTCAACACTGACCTGTTTGTTTCTGCAAAGGATTTCTATTGCCTTGGTTGCTGCATTTTCTTTCATTTAAAATATTTCTACAAATACCAATGATTTCTATTTTGTAAAAAAAATAGTCTCTTCTAAAAATAACATATACAAACATCTTTCACGGCCCTTCAGTACTGTGTGCTGTTAAATAAACCATTGTGTATGAAAAGCAGTTGGAAAGACTGCCTCACTCACAAATCCTGAATATGTTGTTTACTTCAGAATATCTCTCATAGCTTGAAATTTTTGTTTTTATCTATCATTTCACCTATTTTAGCTACAAAAAAAAAGTTTTCATAAGCCACACAAAAGCTTTTGGTTTAATACAATAGCCTAGTTTCACAGCACTTAACTGCTGTGAAACTAGACTATTAACTAATTAACACAAAATACCTTCCAGTTACAAGGACCCTCTATACAATATTCAAATCCTTAAAGTTTGCTGACAACTTGCAGCTGCCCTCAATTTAGAGAACTCAAGGCATTCAATTTCTAATCTTGCAAAATAACACCCATGATAAAGTTTAACAAGGGTACCAAGCAGAAGACTACTTAAAAGCAAATGCAGAAATAAATTAATATACAGTATTCCTTTTCAGATGTGAATATAAAGTGTGACTTACTCTTTTAGTTAGCTGGGTGTCCATCATGAAATTATGCACATGTTTCTCAGCTTTGGTAAGTTCTAACTTCCTTGCCACCACAGCTACCACCAGTGCAGTGCACCCAGCACCCTGAAAACAATAAAACAAACCCCCAAGATGTTACTACTGCATTTTGCTGAGTTTTTAGACGAAACTTCTCCTTTCCTGTAGAAGTATGGCAGGCATCAGGTGGTTCATCCCAGGTAAACTCAGCGAACATGCTACAGCTATTTCATTTCAGAGTATTATGAAAAGTCATCATTTACAGGCTGGTAAACTGTCAAGGCACCAAAATAATTAGTGAATGGCATAATTTAAATGTTATGCTCATTTTTCTCCTTCAGGGGTTGAAAATTTGAGCACATACCATTTATAATGCATAAATAAAGGGGTTTATAAAAACAACTTTTTAAGCCAAGAATGTTAGTTACAGAGTACCCTGTTCGTAAAAATTTTCTCAAGGTTACAGCAACTGCTAAAGAAGAAATAAGATTGATTAGTATATAGCACACGCACACAAAAAAGAAAAGTTTCTTAGGATTTTCTGTAGGGCCTAAAAATAATAGTAACATTAATATTTATTCACTTTAGTATATTTCCCTATTGTTCTGAGTCTGTCAGTGATCTTTTCCTATATTATTTCTGCTTATCTTATTACCATATAAAATAGAACACATACACAGGACCATGCCTTCTAAACTTGGATGGAGAAAATACCAATTTTCTAATTTGTGCTGTAGATACGTATGCACATGCATGTATACATATGAGCATGCAAGTGCACAACAGGCTAATTCCAGAAGGTGCCTGCCTCTTGGGAATGACAGTGCCTTTATCAGCATCACAAATTTACACGTTTCTTTAAGGGGCAAGTGAAGCAGAAAGGAGGCTAAAATGAGACAGATAATAAGCAGTGTCAATTATACACATCTAGAAGTATAATTTCCTTTAAATTATTTATGAATTCTGCTACCTTAATATTTTGTTTTAATAAACAAATTTTTACAGGCCCTTTATAAAAAAGTATAAATATCTCATTAAATACATGAGGCTACGTTTAACTTGCAGGTTCATTCCAATGTAGCTCTTATGGCACTTGCGTCAGTTCCTCTCAAAATTAAAACAATCTCTCATTGTTTCTCATTGAAGCTTAATACATTTTCTTTCAGAGAGCTTTCTTCTATTAATTCTGTATTTCTTCCATAAATTTATTCTCTATGCCCCTTATCTGTAACTGCCTTACACTCTCCAGAAAATTCAGTAAAAATTTCAAAATACAAAATCCATCAATAAACACATAGATACTGCAAAATAAATTAACTCACTGGAAACCCTTTTCCACGTTTCCTTAAAAATCTGGATCTTGTCTCTCTGTGTACTTACTGAAGCACACAATGAATTCTGTGAAAGCCTTCAATTAATAATTTCTCCATTTCCCTGGCAGATTTTTCCAAGAAACCCATCCAATTCCTCTCAAGCACCTCATTTTCTGCAATTAGTTCTCATCTTCCATCCTCAACTCTCAGCAATCTTTCAGATGAGTCCCTCATAATTTTGCTGCATTTCCTGCTTCTTTCCTGTCCTCAATACTAAGCCTTTCCTATTTTCTATTCTATTGTCCAGTCTTTGATGATGGAAGTTTATGGGAATTTACTTGAAGTTTTGCTCTCTCCATGAATCAAAATGGTGCTAAAAGTTCTTTTACTTTTCCAGACACCATTAACAGTTAAAAAAGAAGAATACAGCCCACACAGCTTAAGGCTAAGCACTTCAGAAGCCCATGAGCCTTCTGAAAAGAGCACAAGGCAGAAGGTACTCTAACATGTCCTATCTCCCCAGAAAACAGAAAAAGTGCTCTTTAGGTCTTCTTCCTGTCAAGGGAAATGCTAATATGCAGAAGACTTCTCTGTAGGCAAATAAATTACCCCATATAATAGCAAGGAAATGAAGATAAAAGCAGACACTTTTTGGTTCAGTATGTCAGGAAAACCAGAGCCAGATGTTGATTTAATGACATAACCGGAGTTCTGCCTGCTCACAGCAAGAAATCTAGGATGGAAATGAGCTTATTAATATAGACCCAACTGGCACAAAACACCTGTTTAAGCCAATTTACTGGGGGAGAGAAACACTAGAAGCTCTTTTCCAATACCCCTCAAAAAGGCTAGAGGAATGGTGGCAGTCAAAAGAGTTTGGTCTGAGGCAAAATCACTCCAGCCTTTGTGATTAAGTCCCATGCTTTTTCCATGTGGCACATCAGCTGTAAGGGCCAAATGCTGTCATAAGTGGGAGTTTAATGTCTCATATAAAATATACTGCCTGCAGCATTGCAATACTGTCACTGGCAAGCTGTGACAACCACCTCTATGATGTGTATGTACAGCTATCTTCCTCATCTCCAGAACAGCTTATTGGCAAGGTACTCTAGATCCAGTTTAAACCTCTTGGTTTTGTGGTATATGATGGGATCTCAGGACATGAACATGAGCTCTTTCAGTATTTCTACAGAAGCAGGAAGTATTATACTACCTGCATGTTTACATTTCACACTACTATGAAGGGGAAAAAAAAAATCACTCATAGCAGCTTAAGACATAGACTAAAATTCCACTTGAACTATAAGAAACTAATTAATATTTTCTGTTACAGCAACCTGTAGCATTACATGGCTCCCCTAGAGAGCTCAACATCCTTAAAAGTACTAATAAAGTGAGACTGATTCAAAATTACAGAAATTAAATGGAAGCAATATAGTTACTTAAAAAAATGGTAGTGTTGTGTGTCTGATGCTTGCCATGTTTTTCAAATATGCTGATTCACAGAAAAATCAGTAGGTCAGCTTTATATGCCCAGTTTGTTATACCAATACTACGTAATGCATCAGCTACTTGCTTATTAAAATTACCCAAACTAAGTAAAAGTACTAATAATTATTTCAACTGCAGGAGGCGTTTTCTAGAGAATAAAATTCTACCAAGTCTTATGTTTGATTACTGCATTTTATAACTTTCAACATCATTATTTTAATCTAGTTTTGAAGTAAATAATAAATCATTGCTCCAAGCCCTTGCTCAGGAGAATTATATGTAAGATGAAGAAAATGAAAAAGGCAGGAATTTTCAGGTATCAAAACATGTATCAATTCTATCTGGAATTCACACTCCTTAATCAGCTGCCTGTCCATCTCCTGCATTACAGAGCTCTTGCAGTGTGTTTTGGCTTGGTAAGCAGCCTGATTTTAAGGGCACTTAGGACAGAAATTATTACAACACATGCAGTGTAAGCAAATTGATAAGCCAAGGCTAAGGTCTGACTACATTGTTCATTTGCTCCACTTAGTGGAAACAGGTAATAACAGAATTAATCATCCATTAATTTGATGGTGTTCAAGTACACTGTGATCCAGCATTTGCCAGCAATCACCCATTTTAAAAGCCGATGTACCTGAATTCTTCTGTTTTCTTCTATTCCTGAAAGCATGTACAACCTGAATGAATGAAATTATCTAGTAAAGCATGAGAAGCCCCTAAAGATCACAGTTTTAAGAACAGGCAAGATTAGGTGATGAGCTGAGCAATGCCTATTTCCTATTTGCAAGGATCAGAAGATGAATTTCATCCTGAATGTACAGTATTTCTTGCTTGATATGAAGTGTAGCATATTAGTTTACAGTAGAAGTAAGAAGTCTGAAAATAAACATATCCACATGTGGATGCTAGCTCTGGAGCAAGCTGCAGGGAGCCTGCAGAAACTGCAGGCCGCATAGCTTCTCAGTCCTGCCTGAGAGCTAGCCTGAGAAATTCATGGGAGGATTTCAAAACAATCCTCAAAGACAGAAAACAGCCCTTGCAGGTGCTGTTTGTCTGTCTCTTGTTTTCTTGGCAAGAGAAAGTCAGAGGGTGTTGTACACCACTGACCAATGATGGTGATGTAGTGATTTACTAACCAATAAGAATTTCCTTTCTGTACTTTCCACGAACCAGTCTATAAAACAAGTCTAAAGTAATAAACTAGGGAATTCTCCTGTTCTGACTCCCTTGAGAGTCTGTGTCGTTCTCTCCTCGCCGTTCCTAATAGAACGACATCCACAGTCTTTCAGCTGAGCAAATCAACAAACTCTGGAATTCACAGTGGCATCAGATCTCTGATGCTGATGTAGAATTTGCATTTATGAGCAGTACAACCTTTAGCATTAGGCTCACAACCATTTACACAGGACAGAACTCACTTTGATTGACAATCTATTTAGCTGTTGTCCCTTATGAAAACAATTTGATGTGACTGCAAGCAACTTAAGGACATTCTTTGTATCTTTAATTCTAAATATGCTGTTCCTGTTAAGGACAAAGAATGATACCTAAAGTTCAAATGCTCGAGCAGGCACGCAACAGTCTGTGAAAGCCATTTTCCTCTCTAGTCCTCTTTGATGCCTAGAAAGTGAGTTTCTTTGATAGAAATGTAAGTGGAAGTGTATGTTGGCATTTTACTCATATATGGTTAGGCAGTTGTTAAGCACTAGTAGGATTATCATTTTCTCTGTTACATAAGCCTAAATGATGATTGATACTCCTTAAAAAAATTGAATGGAAGGATGGATTAAATTGAGGGGGGAAAAATTACATCATCAGACATTGATGTCAAGCCTGTGCTATTTGAAAAGGGAAAGAGAAGAAAGATGAAATTAAGTGTATTTTAAATTATACTTTAAATTTAGCAACTGAACAAAATTTTTAAACATGACCCTCAGAAAAAAGAATGACTATTACTTCGTGATGTCTTTGACTTTCAGGTATCAAAAATTGCAACTTTCCCCATCTTCTGCAAAGTCCCTCCTCTTGGCACTTAGTTCTGAATTACTGCAAGCCTCCTTTCAACTGCTTTAACAAAGCAAACTATGTCTTAGACACCTCAGAGACTGCTGCAAAGGTTATTTTCTTTACCTGTCATTCTTAGAATGTTATTCTGCTCTGTGTTGATGTAGTCCCTTCTCTATAGCATCATATACAGAACATTTGCCCTCAGTTGCAATGTTTTGTGACTCCTCATGGATTTCAGCTCTAATAAGCTCTTTCAGACAAGATCCTTTGCAT